ATCGCAAATTTCTCCTGGAGGTTATGTGAAAAAGAAGCTCTGCTCTGCCCCCCCACACCCACTCCCCCACCTGTCCCCCTCCCGAGGACATCCTTGGACCCACATCAGAGCTGAGCCAGCTGACAGATACTGTGCCATCTCTTATCAGGACTATGGAACTTTCTGGCAGTGTCCACGGACAACTCACCGCCTTTGTTGGCCTCCTCATGCATAAATGTATTATGATGTCATCATTATGTTGCTGTTTATGTGTGAAGTTGTTTTTTTGCAACTTTCACACTGTGCCCCGGCCAGAATATAATGCGATATATGATTTTTTTTTCCTACCTCCCCTCGTGTTTCTCTTTTCCTTATCTACTTTTGTTGGCCTGTAACAGGTCTTTCTTGTAAATGAGTCCTCGAGGCTCAGTGGGAACTAAGTTGAATGAAACTTCACTACTAACACTCGTTGTCACAGAGCAACATTTTATTTGTAACACAAATCTGATGCGTTTATCTCCATGTTTTAGGGCACCCAGGTTTCTTTTCGCTCTCTGTTTCTAGAAGTGATTCTGTTGACTGGGCGGTGTCGGAGCGGGTCTGGTGCTTGCGTTCCTGCCCTCAGGCCTCATTGTCCTTGATGTTCTTCCAGTGGCGCAGCGTTAATAACATCTGAGCGTGGAAGAAAGACGCTCACGGCGCATGCAGCGCCTTGGGCTTCACCCTGATCATAACAAGCCCGTGGCCTCCCAGCAGCTCCAAATTCTGCTCGGTTGTGTCAGCATTCTTTTATTAGTGTCATCCTGCTGAAAAATACAGCAGGAAGAGGGGCAGGAGACAAAACCTGCAGGGGAGGATGTAAACGTCTGTGTACCCTGCTGTCCCTTCTTTTATTTCATCATTCTCTGCAAAAGATTATAAAGAGACTTAGACTTGATGGATGGAGACGGAAGGAGCTCGCGAGCTGATCTCTCTCACACTCATCTTCATCCGGCTGTTGGTAGTGACAGTAAAAGGGGAGATGGATGGATAGGTCACTTCTTCCTGCTGTATTTCACATCCAAATGATGAGCTGTAAACCAGTGGCCACACTATTTATAGTGCTTCTGTTCGAACATCTTACAAATCATATATTTTACACTACAAAGTACAAAACAACACAAGCGATTCTGGTGTTTATAAGACTTTTAATTCCATCGTGCCCCTTTGTGTGACTCTCCATCCCTGTATGAGAGTATGAGAGGTGTAGCAGGCCAATGAAGAGTCGTTACAATGAGGGATGATACCAATAAATTGATATTTCCAACACTTACTCCAACAAGTACTCTGTACATCTGCAGTTAAAAGGATTGACTCAGCCTCCACTAACCTTGTGTTTAACTTGAGCCGTCATTAGCAAATCAAAAGCAGATTAATTAATCACAGGTCCACTGCTGGCATGCATTAACTTAAGTGACCATTGTAATATAACTTAAAGAGAAATCACCCGTGATTTCTCATCCTGACACCACAATGAATGCTTTGCTGCTTCCAGGAGTGCTGATGCTGTCATCAAGAGGGAGAAAATGGATCCTATAAGTGGGGGGGAGAGAGTCTATTACAGCATTAATTTTGCTACAAATGGAGCTATTCACTAATGGTTTGAGCTTAAATCTAACTTGTCCTTTTTGGGTCTTTTTCCCCTCCTGTTTGTTTCTGATTCCGTTCATTTTGTCTGTTTAGTCCTTCCACCATTTCAAAATGTGTTTTTGCTTTAAGCATCAACGTGTTACCATCTTAAAATACTACATTTGGAAATACTCACCTGGTTCAAGGAAGAAAAAGACAAATTATGTCTCAAATAAAGCAAGACTCCTCAAAGATGTAAAACATTCCCTGCAATCATGTGAACAAGTAGTATTCTTATGATCAGCACAAGCATTTGGCTTTAAGTGTTAGTGGGATGCCTTTGTTCTTATTCTTTTTGTTATTTATTTAATATTTGTGCGTGCCACATTTCCAAAAATAATATAGCACTTCCAAGCACTTCCATACCATTAGTGTATTAATAGTGCCCCCTGCTGGCAGGAGTGGGAACACAGTAAAGTACATCTATCTATCTATCTATCTATCTATCTATCTATCTATCTATCTATCTATCTATCTATCTATCTATCTATCTATCTATCTATCTATCTATCTTGCCCCTACAGTTAATTGATATTAGTTAACAAAAATTGCTATAACGCTGTTGTTTAACAGATATTGAGCTCAACTTTGATATAATATAACAACAGCACATGATATCATGCAAAACAGCAACAGTATTAAAATATTTACAAGAAATCATCTGTTAATAAAATGTAAAATACAATGCAAGTTTTAAAAAAAAATCACAATTTAAGATATTTAAATATTACAGGTGCAAGATGTGACTAAAACTTCACCTTAAGCTGCAGATTATTCCAAGACCGTGGGTCAAACTACAACAAAAGTTGGTTGATTTTAGGTTAAGACTTTGCCATGAAAGGAGATAAGCAATCCTTAAAGGAATGCGATGCTTTTGAAGAATATGTTCTGCAGTTATATTTTGAATTAGCTGTGCACCTCAGTTTTTCTGAAGTTTCAGTTTGTCTGTTTATTTTAATCACAGATTGTGCGACAGAGCCTCTTCGGCAATGCCTTCCCTCTGTCTGTAAACATTGTGGTTTCCATGCCATCCTGGAACAAAACCAACAGACAAACACTCCAGCAACAAGCAGAAAAAAAAAAGTGATCCAAACAATGGGGTGTGTGCAGTGTTGGGAAGTGAAGGAAAAAGAAAAGGAGACGTGCAAATACTTTTAGAACTTGTAAATCAAAAACAAATCAAATCAGCTTGAAGAGTAATCAAAGAATCATCACAGTTTGGGTTTAACGCGTTACGAGCAGCAATAATTGCGCTGGCATCAATTTTTTGATTGTGTTTTCATCATTTTCAGAACAGTCCTGACATTCTGTGTCAGCCATGCCATCTCACATGTTGATCTCCTGAGAACACGTTTAGAACATACAAAGCACCTTCAGCTGTGGCGTCTTGTTGGCTTTATGTAGAAACCATTCAGTTCATCATGGTCAGGGCCTGACCATTTTATTCTGATTCTGTTATTTTTGATTTGACCATCTGCACGACTCACACTGTGATGCTGAATATAATTACCGTAACTAAAAAAAAACATTTTGTTAAATTTGTATACAATGACATGCCTTTGTGTTTACTTAATGAAATGTATTTGATTATTCTTATTAGTATTTCAAGCACAAAATGATTTTTTTTTCTCCATTAAGAAAAGCTCTAATTCTGTCCAATCTATCAACACATTTATTTTTCAATCTTGGGTTGTGTCTCACTTGCAAATACAAGCACACGACAAAAAGAAAGCAACAGATGTGTGAAGACAAAAAGCTAATTTTCATATATTAATGAAATGGAAACAAAATTGTCTGAACACATGAATAAGCAAACAGGTAACGGGTTTTACAGTAAATGACTCCAAGTAAACACAAAAACTTCAAGCTGGACCCATGAAAACAAAGAAGAAACATCAGGTAAAAGAACAGGGTGGACACTTTACACATCAGCAACAAATATACCCATAAGTCAAATAAACTTCATCCCAGTACTTGGCTTTATTTTTTAAGAAAAAGAAGCCAAAGTAAAACAAAACAAGCTTTGTAAAACAGTAAAGCCCAGGTCTAAGTTAAAACATTTCTGCCATATTTGGCCTTTTGTATATTAATCTCAACAAATTAAATTAGCTACCACTGCACATCCACATAATGTCTCCTGCAGGCACCCTTAGATCCTGCAAATTAAAACCAGATTCAGGATCAGGATTCACACCTATTGTCATTCCACTGATTGAAAGCACCTGACTCTTTTGCAGCTTACAACTCGTGCAACACTTATAACTCGTGCAAATAACTTGAAATATTTTGTGCATAAAGGTCTTTTTGCATATTTGGGCTAAAAAATTGTGATGGTGATGGCTCAAGCCTTGACGCTGGCTCTGTCGTGCACGCGCAGTAACACAGTGGGCATCAGCGTGTGACTGGTATTGACTTACAAGAAGAAAGAAAAAAAAACATCCTTAATAATTGACTTGTAAGGTCCTCTTAGTTTGAAAATGACGTCGTTCACACACTGCCGTGCCAAGGGCAAAGGTGTAACCGGGAAAAAGAAGAAGTTGTTAGAAATGGAGGAATGAGCAGCAGGGAGGAGACATTCCTCCCAGTGTTTTCACTTTTCCTAAACTTTAAGAGAAAGGCTGCAGTTTATCTCGGTGATTACAGACACAGCATGCGGCGGGAAGGAGCTTTATTTATCCTGACATATTAATATGAGGAACAGTATAACAACAGGTGAGTTACACAAGTTTTTCCTACAAGAAAAATCTGAACTGCAAATGTGTTGATAACTGTTCACTATTCAAAACACTTTTATGAGCAAGCAGCTTAGAAGCGCTTTGTGTGAATAACTATGAATTTAATAAACGTCAGTACACCTTTCACTTGGCTTACTACTTGTTTTATTGAATTTGTTTTATTAATGTGGCAGTAGTCTGCTGTGCAAATCTTAATGGTGAACTTGTGTGTTTGAATTTTGCTGATTGTTCAATATTTAATTTAAAATCCACAATTTTTTTTAATCCAGGTAAAAGTCTCATTAAGTATAAAAAACTTTTTAGGCAGCAACAACAAATGCATCACTTAACTATAAAAAATACAACAGTTATTCAGAATTTATAAGTAACCAACTGAGCAATGCTGTTGTAATGGTGCAGCATTGTCTTGCTGAAATATGCAAGGCCTTCCCTTAAAATTGTAATCTGGAAGGGAGTGCAAGTTGTTCCTAAAATCTTAACTGTTTTATCTTTTATTTGTGTTTTTTTTAGATGTGAGCCTTACATTCCTACAATCTGAATCCATTTTCCTAAAAGCGCAGCGACTTTCATCTACTTTCTCAATAAGCACGTATTCTCTGGGGAGAGTTTGCTTCAATCATGAGTGGAAAAGGCTGTCAGCTCCTCGTGTCTCCCTGCAATGTTTCCCCCTCAATGAGTATGATCCGAGGACACCAGCCCCAACCCTTCATGATGCCTGCGTCCTCCCCTCAGCACAGCGAGAGAACTGAGAAAGTGAAACAAGGAACTGTTCAGTCTTTAACTTCTGGAAAACCGACTGGAAGCCATGTCGTCCTGCCTACCTTGAGCCTCCGCAGACAGGTGTTGACCAATGCAAAACATCAGACTGGGCCAAACGCACCCCCACAGCAACAACCTGCTAACCATTTTCAAAACACAACAATGACAACTACCAAACCGTCGAGACTCAGCCCATGTAATCACAGCTTCAAAGGTAAACATAATGTGATGTTTGTTAGGGGGATAAAATCCCAGTATAGACTACAAATGAGCCTGGATTAAACACATCATATGCACATAGTAATAAAAATGATTTACCACGACATTCCTTATTTCTAATGTTCTCCTCACCTAGCTGTCTTCATGCTCGACATTTATCTTATTTATTAATAATTTACCAGGCGCAGACCTAAAACATAACTTTTCTACTGGAAAGTGGTAGAGGTAAACACTAGATTGGCTTGCTCTGTTTATGTTTGCAAGGAAAAGTCCACAATCTTGTGTGTAAACCTTTAGGAAAATTAAGTATTACAGTTTAGTTTGACACTGGTAAACCATCATTTTCAGTTAGAAAAAAATGCTGCAGCAACTTTAAACGTGCTAATGTTGAATATAATGTGGAGTCACTGTCCTCATCACTTTGCATTCAGGTTCAAAACACAATAACTTACTGAACTTGTGAGTTTTAATATTTTCTTTCCTGTGTAACTTCTTAATAAATAAATTTTGTCTTGTGTTAATTAGATTGTGCAGTTTCTGGGTCACCGTTGGATGTATGTGGTCAGGCAACGGGTGTTAACCTAACACTGACCAGTAGCTCCATTAGTGTTCCCTCAGGCCAACCTTATCCTGCATTGCCTCAACCCCCATCATGTCATAGTATGCCAACGGATGTCAGGTGAGTACTATCAGTAAGTCTATTTGATGATAAGCTCACAAACATTGTTACTAAAGCCAGTATTTTTCAGGTCCTTGCTGTCCAGAGAATCTCTGGCATCCACTACCCTCAGCCTGTTTGAAACACAGTCAGTTTTTAGTGGCAAACATGACTGGCCATATGGTTACTGTGTGCTTCCTCCCTTGGGATTACCTCACAACTCTACACAGGCTAGTGAGGGCAGCGAACAGTTCAGCCTGTCCCCTGGCACAGCCATGTCGGGCACGACCATATCAGGTGCTACAAGCACCTCTGCCTCATTGCCCTCATACCTCTTTGCAGGAGAGGCTGGAAGCCCTCGACAATCTCGTGCAAAGAAGAGAGCTCTCTCCATGTCGCCTTTATCAGATGTCATGGGTATTGATTTTAATACTATTATACGCACCTCGCCAACATCACTTGTGGCTTACATCAATGGTTCCCGCAGCTCTCCATCCTCCCACTTCACACTCTCACCTGTTCAATCTGAGGGATATGGTCATTTCCTGGGGGTGAGAGGACGTTGCATACCCCACAGCCATTCCTACAGCATGTGGAGCTCTTCACAAGCTCTGGCACCACAGTCAGAGTGTGCCCGTATGCAGATGCTTGAAGAGGGAGGGGATCTGGAAGGCCAGATGGCTAACATGATGGTTGCGCAGCAGTGCCTTCCAGAAGAAGTGGGGATACTAGAGACAACTTCAAACAGCTGCAGCCAAGCCATCAGCAATATTCTGCCACCTCTACAGTCAGAGCCAGCAGCTCTGTTGACAGCTGTCCAAGAAGATGCTATTCCACAAAGACCTCCACCACCTTATCACTCGCACCAACACATAAAACTCTCCAGACATCACTGGAAAATAAAGGCACCTTCTCAAGACCCTTCCATGCAGGTGCCCATGCTTCCTCACAGACATTCAGTTGGATTTTTACCCCAAATTCCAATGCTGGAAGAAGAGGAAGGTGAGGTGGAGGACTATGGCACCCATTGTTGCGGGTGGATGCACTGCAATGCAGTTTATGACCAAAAGGAAGAGCTGGTAAGGCACATAGAGAAGATACATGTAGACCAGCAGAAGGCTGAGGAGTTCACATGCTTCTGGGTAGGATGTCCACGCAACCTAAAGCCGTTTAACGCCCGATACAAACTTCTTATCCACATGAGGATCCATTCAGGAGAGAAACCCAACAAATGCGTGGTATACCTTGTATACATTATTACAACTTATCTTTCTGATTTCAATACTCGCTTCTTTCATTTATTTAAGAAAAATCTTAGTAGCATGTTTGCTTGTTGAATGCTTAGCACAGTTTCCTCTCAGATTAATATTCTTTCCAATCATGTGAAATGAATGACTAAATGCTTTCTAAGCAGAAGCATCATAAATGACGGAGCTCAGTTTGAGACTGTGTCATTCAAAGCAACCGTACAGGTAAATGGTTTATACCTTTGGACCAAAAGTCTCTACCAGGGTAAATGCCAAAGTTTAGCTCAAGTATGGTCTTATTCTGGGGCAGCACGGTGGCGCAACTGGTAGAGCTGCTGCCTCTCAGCGAGCAGATCCTTGGTTCAAACCCCGGTCCAGGGGCCTTTCTGGGTGGAGTTTGCATGTTCTCTCCGTGCATGCGTGGGTTTTCTCCGGGTGCTCCGATTTCCTCCCACAGCCCAAAAACATGCATGTTAGGCTGATTGGTAACTCTAAATTGTCCCTAGGTGTGAGTGAGAGAGTGAATGGTTGTTTGTCTTGTTTGTCTCTATGTGGCCCTGTGATGGACTTGCGACCCATCCAGGGTGTACCCCGGCCCTCGCACAGTGATTGCTGGACATGGACACCGGCGACCCCCGTGACCCAAAATGGAATAAGCAGGTAAAGGTAATGGATGGATGGATGAATGGATGGATGGTCTTATTCTCTCTTTAACTTAAACCATGGATCAATTATCAAAGTTCTGTGGCTGACATAACTCCATTATATTATTAAACAAGCACAAAGGAAATTTAGCACTTTAGATTTGGCATGGCATAATGAGCCTTTAGAAACTATTGGTGCTTTAGCTAGCCATAGCTTCAACAGGCCTCTGTCTGGCAAAACTTGGCTGTTGTTTTGTAAAGGTGATGACCCATATTTCAGTTCTGTACACATTTGCTTCTTTGGTCAAACAGAGAGAGAGAGAACAATGATTTAAGTTTGAAATTATACTGTAGCGTGGTTCCTACAATTCAGGGAAAAAGTCTTGTTAAATGAAAACACGTATTTTTATACTGAATATACTGTTAACCGTTAAGGTGCAGGTTACTAAGCAGAGGCAATATCTTTGTTCACCTTGACATAGCATGCATGTTAAAGCATGTCTGGCTAAATAATGCCAGTCACCTTGACTATAGAGCTTAGATGAATGTTAGCAATGTTGCATGGAGGACTGGGACAACGCCTATAGAGTGACAAACCCAGGTGGTAGTTCCCATTTTTAAAAAGGGTGACTGAAGAGTATGTTCCAATTATTATGGAATCACACTTCTCACCCTCCCTGGGAAATTTTACTCCAGGGTGTTGGAAGGGAGACTCTGACCAATTGTTGGACCTTAGATTCAGAAGGAGCATTGTGGCTTTCGACCTGGTCTTGGAATATTGAACGAGATCTTCACCCTTGCAGAGATGCTGAGGGGGTCATGGGAGTTTGCCTCTCCTGTCTACTTGTGTTTTGTGGACCTGGAGATTGCTAATGACTGTGTCCCTCAAATTATTGTGTGGGGGGTTGCTGTGAGAATATGGGGTCCCTGGGTAGCTTTTAAGAGCTATCCAGTCCCTGTATGACCAAAGCAGGAGCTGTGTCTGCATTACTGGCACAAAGTCGAGCGTGTTTCCAATGCGGATTGGTCTCCATCAGGGCTGTTTCTTGTCTCCAATCTTGTTTGTGGTGTCATGGACATGATCTCAAGTTGCAGTCGTGGAGAGGTGGGTGTCTGGTTTGGGAACCTCTGGGTCTCATCTCTGCTTTATGTGGATGATGTGGTTCTGTTGGCATCTTTAGACCAAGATCTTCAGCATACACTGGGGCAGTTTGCAGCCTAGTGTGAAACAGCTGGGATGAGAGTCAGCACCATATTTCTCGAATGAAAGTGGGTGGATTGGTCCTTCTGGGTCAGAAGGGCCATTACCTTCTGTCTCAGGTGGAGTTCAGGTTTTTGGGCTTCTTGTTCACGAGTTATGGTAGGGTGGAACGGGAGATGGATTGATGGATTGGGGTCAGTTCTGGTGAAGAGAGGGCTGAGTTGAAAGGCAAAGTTCTCGATTTACTGGTCTATCTACGTTCCAACCCTCACCTATGGTCACGAGATTTTGGCTATGACCGAAAGTATGAGATCCCAGATACAAGAGGCCAAAATGGGTATTTTTCGCAGGGTAGCTGGGCTTAGCCATAGAGATGGGGTGAGGAGCTCCATCATCTAGGGAAAGCTCGGAGTAGAGCCACTGCTCCTCCACATCGAAAGGAGTCAGTTGAGGTGGGTTGGGCATCTGATTTGGATGCCTGTTGGACGCCTCCATTTAGAGGTTTTCCAGGCACGTCCTTTTGGTAGGAGGCCCCAGGGAAGACTCATATGTTGCTGAAGGGATTGTGCATCTTCTCTGGTCTGGGAACGCCTTGAGGTCCCAAAGAACAAGCTAAAAAGTGTCACTGGAGAGAGGGATGTCTGGTTTTTCTCCTGAAACTGTTGCCTCTGTGACCCAATTACAGATAAGCGATAGAAAATGGATGGATGCTTCCTTTGGTTTGGGGATGAGAGAAGATTTCTTTTGCAGTTGCCATAATATTATCCCTACCATATATCTTAGTGCTTTCATTTGAGTCTATAATATTTAATATGTGATGAAAAGTTGACAGCAGATTAGGTTCAAACTAGTTTACTTCAAACACATCAGAAAAAAGGCAAAAAAAAAAAAAACATACATTGCCTCCACAGACCCATGCAACCATCAGCACTTCAGAATATTCATAGACCTTATTAACTTCTTTGTCTGTTCCTCTTTCCCACTGTGAAAACATTTAGGACTTGGATGAGTAATTAACAAACCATTGGCCAAACATGCTTCATGTTGGTGCTTTTAACAAGTTAATTATTAATATCATGCATACCTGCCGCTGACCTTCTGCTCCAATATACTTACTTATTAGCTGAAGTCAGCTTTGTTGTCATGGTGCTGCCATTCTTGGATGTTTCCATGTTCTCAGTAATTATAAAAGATTTATGATCACATCTTATTACCAAAAACAAGAACTTATACATATGTTCGTAGCCCTGTAAAAATCTTGTGAGTAGAAAGAAAAAGTTACACAATTCCCTCAAGTCATTTGACTGTGATCACAATTTCAAGTCAGGATTAGCCATATGCTAATGTTTAAGACTTTGCTCATCTTTACATCAAACGTTTTATTAAGTATAACGTGATTGCTCTAATTTTCATGTTAAAATGTGAGCATGAAAACATCTGGAATGTAAAAGCCAGTTTTTCTCCAAAGATGTATGTCGCATAAATAATCATTTTGACGTGAAATTCTCCAACAGCTGCGCAACAATGAGGTTGCTCTTGTTACACAGTGGAAACATGGGGCAAGCCTAAACTCGTCTGTTTACAGCCAGTTTAAGAAATTCTTCACTAATTGTTGTTTAAACATATAATCTTTTAAGAGCACCAATTGTCCGTATTTAAATTTTTTCAAATGTGATGCAAGTTGAGATTTTTGGGATATGAATCACCTTTTGTTTGTATGGATTGCAGGTATAAATTAGCTTTTTCCACAAGAAAAGTTTGTCTATTGTGGCCATTTTGGTTCTTGTTGTCAATGTTATCTTCCATAATTACTGTATTTGCCACATTGGTGGTGTTGTAGTCAGTACTGTCACCTCACAGTGAGGGTCTGAGGTTTAATTCTCTGGTGTACAGGTCTTTCTCTATAGAGTTTGCATGTTTTCCTCATTTTATGGGTTTTTGTCAGGTAAGAACAAAGCAGAAGTAGAAAATTGGTGGAAAGATGTTTGCAATGGGTGATACGGTTGGTTGATGTACTTTAGGTGAAATAAGCAAGACCCTCAATAAAGAGAGAAAGATAATGTAAGTTAATGTACTTAAAAGCACTTTTGCCTGGACTTGTCAAACCTGAAAACAAATTCTGTTTTTTTTCTTTCATTATTAATAATATAAGCAATAATTTTATTTATGTATTTAAAACAATCAAATATCCTGGCTATATTAGTGTGTCTGTGGTGGACTTGCAACCCGTCTTGGCAGTACCCTGCCTCTTACACAATGACCGCTGGAGGTACCAGCTACACTTGACCTGGAAAGGAAAAAGTGCGTAAAGAAAATGGATGAGTGGATATTAATGGGGAAGATGGCTCCGCTTGTTCTCATTATTAGAGTACCGTTATTGCAAGTTTATTTGTTTTTCTTGAAACTTGGTGCAATGTTAAATTTGGCAATTATTTGGTCAAATGAAAACACACCTAGTTATTATGTATGTTATATATTGGGATTCAGAGTGATCAGACCTCAGAGTGGGAACTGGGCACTGGGCTGAGTTTGCTGCTGTCATTGTTCAGCTGGGGCATGAGGACCTGCCAGGACCTGCCAGGACCTGTCAGACGTTGGCTGTAAGATCGAAGAGCCACACTGCTTCCCATTCAGGCCAGCCAACCGATCTTTGTGACACACTACAAGCCATTTTCACGAGAGCTTAGTGACACAGAGACAGAGAGAACCCACCTCTGGACCAGCCTGGTGTCCTGCCAGCCTTTTAGCTTCATGTTTATTCTCATTTGTCTGGCCAGTTTGGTGCTAGAGATTATTATTTTTTTTTTAATCTTGTTCAGTTTTTTATTTGTTTATTTTTTAACGATCAAGTGGCTTTATTTGTTCAACCTTTATTTAAACCCTTTTCCGTACACTCTTAATTCTGTTATGTTCTCTCTCTGCATAAGGAAGCGTTTAACTTATCTGAATTTAAAAGAGTGCACCAATTCTCTCACGACTGAAAAGAAAATACATGAAACATTTCTAATTGTTGTCTTTTTCTTCTGACATGTCGCATTTCCAATTTTATCAGCTTGCTTTGCACAAAAATTTAAGAATTTTCTCCACTCCACTTCCATTTAATATATATATATATATATATATATATATATATATATATATATATATAAAAAACATTTCTTGGAAAATAAAACGTAACGATTTTTTTTTCCAAGTCCCAATTGCACAAACAAGACGAGCTTGTCTGAGCTATCTTGACAGGGAGTAACTTGTAATGAAAGAAAACGGCTACTATTTCTAACATTGGAGGAGTTGTGAGAGTTCATTTGGTTTCTGCAGTTATGACTAAGACAATGAGAGGAATTCAGTCTTGGAAGAAAAATAACAATATTAAACATTGTCCATGAGACTTAGTCAGGGCATACCAAACACCCTCCTCCACTACACTCTCCAACCCCCTAGGGAGAGAAATGTGGTCCTAGACTCTTGAAAAAAAATTAACTTGAATGATTTAGATGTTTCGGCGATGAAGTCACAGGTCGCAAGATCCTGCAACATGCTGTTTTGTTGACTGAGTATCATGAATCTGTTCTAGATGGTTTACTGAAAGTGACTTCATTGAGTAACTGATTGCGGTCAAGGTGATGCAAGACAAAAGATAGAAAACCCAAAGCAGCATGCATGTTTAAATACTGACCCCTGCTGGTCACAGCATATTCAAGCCAAAAAGAAAATTTGTGTGGTGCAAAATTAAGCAGCATTGTAAAAACAAGAGCCTTTCAAAAGCTTTAAACATTGATTCTTATAATTTTCTCTTTGAGCCATTCCAGTATACGTCACTGTAATCATATATCAGTATGACAGCAACGCCATTCATGTCAGCTAAATGATACGGTTAGCTACTCAGAAGTGTTTCTATAATTCCTCTTTCACTCCTTCCCACAATATCAGGTTAGGAGGGTTTTGTTTTTAACATGTTTAAGCAAACATCACATAAATATACACTGCACAAAATATGTACTTGTCTATTTTATACTTCAAATATCCTTGAAGTGATCTGGGGAGAGAGAGGATGTATTTTAATTAAGCTTATATTTGGAAAATTGCTCAACTTTGACCCCATCCAGCTTCAACCCCATTTAAAGTGTTTGTGTGCCGTTCACAGTTTGAAGGCTGCAACAAGGCTTTCTCTCGGCTCGAAAATCTAAAGATTCACCTGCGCAGCCACACAGGCGAGAAGCCTTATCTGTGTCAGCACCCCGGATGCCACAAGGCCTTTAGCAACTCAAGTGACAGAGCTAAACACCAGCGCACACACCTGGACACAGTGAGTAGCAGCACAAACATATAGATAATTATAAATGCTATTTTGATCCTTCTGGATAAGTGCAGGACTCATGCATGTGCTTATGTTGCTGTGGTTGTGCAGAAACCATATGTGTGCCAGGTGCCAGGCTGTGTAAAACGCTACACTGATCCCAGTTCATTAAGGAAACACATGAAGTCCCATTCTACTAAAGAGCGGCAGTTACGAAAGAGGGCAAGTGACACAACTTGTAATTTTTTTTTAACTCGCTTTGAAGAACCATAAAGGCTGATCGATAGTCTCTGAACTGTATTTTTTAAAAGGCTACACTAAGCCACTTCATTTCATAAACTTAACTTGAAAAGCAAGTCCCACTTCCTTAACCTCTAACATTAAATAAGCCTCTGTAACACATGCCACATAGTTTGTTTTAATTCAGTCATTCTAATTAGCTCACTGACTGGCTTTCCATCCCACTCAGTTTGCTCTGCAAGTTAACTGTGCACAGATGATCATTACATTTAATTAAAGTTGTGGATGCAGTCAGAAGGAAATATGCAGCAACATGGTTTGTTGGTTTCCGTGTCCCTTGGTTAACACGGACAGAAAAAGAGTTTTAAAAACTGCATTTGTTTGATTTGTTTTCATGTTGAGAGCCACTTCATTGGAAAGTTTTTTTTTTTTTTTTTTTGTGTTAAAATTAGGATTTTAGTACATGTGTGATAAATGCTCTTTCACTTTCAGGTTTGTGTAACCATAGATACGGTGCATCTGGAAAGTATTCACGGCGCGTCACTTTGTTCACATTTTATGTTACAGCCTTATTCCAAATAGTATTAAACGAATATCTTTCCTCAAAATTCTACACGTAATACCCCATTATGACAATGTGAAAAAAAAAAATGTTTTTTGAGATTTTTGCAAATTTAATAAAATTAGAAAACTAAGAAATCACATTTACGTACTGTAAGTATTCACAGCTTTTACTATGAGGTTCAAAACTGAGCTCGGATACTGTTTCCGCTGATCATCCTCCAGATGTTTCTACATCTTAAATGGAGTCCACCTGTGGTAAATTCTGTTGATTGGACTTGATTTGGAAATGCACACACCTGTCTATATAAGGTCCCACAGTTGAAAGGGCATGTCAGAACAGAAAAACCAAATATGAAGTCAAAGGAATTGTCTGTAGATTGTCACAGGATTGTGTTGAGGCACAAATCTGGGGAAGGATACAGAAACATTTCTGCTGCTGTGAAAGTCCCAGTGGCCTCCATCGTTCATAAATGGAAGATGTTTGGGAACCACCAAGATTCTTAGAGCTGGCCGGCCATCTATACTGAGCGATTGGGGAGAAATACGGATCCATCCATCCATCCATTATCTTTACCCGCTTATTCCATTTTGGGTCACGGGGGTCGCTGGTGCCCATGTCCAGCAATCACTGTGCGAGGGGCGGGGTACACCCTGGACGGGTCGCAAGTCCATCACAGGGACACATAGAGACAAATGAGACAAACAACCATTCATTTTCTCACTCACACCTAGGGACAATTTAGAGTTACCAATCAGCCTAACATGCATGTTTTTGGACTGTGGGAGGAAACCGGAGCATCCGGAGAAAACCCACGCATGCACGGAGAGAACATGCAAACTCCACCCAGAAAGGTCCCCGGACAGGGGTTTGAACCAAGGACCTGCTCACTGAGAGGCAGCAGCTCTACCAGTTGCGCCACCGTGCTGCGAGAAATACGGATGAATAGCCAATTATATTATTTCAGAAAATGAATGGCGTAAATATTAAGACTCTGAGAAGGAGTATAGATTCAATTTGGACTAAGGTTCTTAGCTCTTAACATTAAAATTTAGGTAAGCTTATCTCAGATCCATGAACTAATGTCTAAACGAACTTAGTTGGCACTTGGTGTTCTCTCATCAGAAGGAAGATATTTTCATCCTACCGGGAGACGTCAGATTTCTCTCATTACCACAGCGGATATGATGACTTTGCCCGAGTTGATCGGGGAGAAGGGCCTTGGTCGTGGAGGTGACCAAGAACCTGATGGTCACTTTGTCAGATTTCCAGCGTTCCTTTGTGGACAGACTGGGGTGGCGGTTCATTTTTCAGCACAACAATGACCCAAAGCACATGGCCAAGATCGCAAAGGAGTGGCTTCAAGAACACTCTGTGAATGTCCTGGACTGGCCAAGCCAGAATCCAGACTTGAAGCCAATTGAGCATCTCTGGAGATATGTGAAAATGGCTGTGCACAGATGTCTCCCATACAAACTGATGGAGCTTGAGAAGTACTCCAAAGACGAATGGGCAAAAGACAGATGTGCTAAGCTTGAAGCATCATATTCAAAAAGATGAAGCTGTAATTGATGCCAAAGGTGGATCAACAAAGTTTAAAGCAAAGGCTGTGAATACTTACATAAAGTCTTAGTTTTCTATTTTTAATATATTTCAAACATCTCTTTTTTTTTTACATTGTCATAATGAGATTTTGTATGTAGAATTTTGAGGAAAGAGATTAATTTAATACAATTTGGAATAAGGCTGTAACATAACAAAATGTGGTAAAAGTGAAGCGCTGTAGACACTTTCCGGATGCACTGTACAAAGAAAGTGGGTTAATTTTTTTAAAGACGGTTTATAAAGTCTACTGCATCTTAGCTTCTTTCATCTATAAATCTACAATAAATGCTTCCTGTGATTTAAGGAATGATTGCATGTTACATTTCTCACTACAAATACAAATGCCTAACTTGCATACTGTAAAAAAATATCTTGCATGCATCTAGTCTTCTAGATTATGGTGAGACCTATACTTTTCTGATGAGATTTCAGATTTAAATGTAATTTCTTTAAGTAGAAACAGATTAAATATTCAAAAGACAAGCATAATCCACAGCTAATATAACACTGACTATCCATGTGCATATGTGTAAATTCAGGTTTTTATTTAAGTTTGTGCTGGAGGAAACATTTGGAGGAAGTACAAACTTTATTTCTAATCACCAAACAAATTAAAATATTGTAAACATTTTATATTTTTCTTTGCAGAAATACGCTCTAAATTGCCATCAGATCATACTGTATGTTTTGCATTTGGTCGTTTTTAGAATGAGGAAAATATTTTAGTGTCTCAAATTTTTAACAACTTTAATTAAAACTTTAATGAATTGTTACAGACATACATACATGCAGACTCATGTTCAGACTGCTGTTGTTATGCCACATTGTTTTGCATTATTAGTGTATATCTTGGATCCTTATATACTGTTTTTTTTTAAATATATATTTTTGCTATTTTGGAGTGTAACTGGGAGCTTGTGTACATAATTTCATCCCACCTCATGTACCACGTGGTGAGAACGAAATTAAACCTACTTGAACTTGAATACGCTGTACTATAACTCTTCATGTCAGGCAGCTAGATTTATTTATTTTATTTATTTATTGGATAAATTGATGCTCTACATGATCACCTAAAATAAATTCAGGTTCTAATGAGAGCTGCTTAAAGAAATCTTGAGTGTTTGGATTATAATGTACTCTTTTGTGCAACAAATAACTGCTACCAAACATTCTGGTAACTAAATATCTGCCCTGAGGAACACCCTGAATATCAGCTTGGTGGGCTTTTCATTTATACATTGCAGCTTCAACTCAGAAATGCTTGTTGGTTTCATCACATGAACCACTCACTAAAGTTTCTGACAAAATATTCTTAGGTTAGGTTGAATTGGGCAAAACAGAATTAAAATTATTACCTTTGCCTTTTGTTCATTATTTGCTAGATTGACGTTTAGGTTTAGAGTTAATGATATCAAGAAGTGACCCATTTTTCTTTAACACATTTAAAAAGGCTGCACTTATATTTTGCGTCAAAGCAAACGTTCCACATATTGAATAAAAATGCAAACAAATTTTTTATTTTACTTTCTGCAACAGCCTCTGGTGTTTATGTATTTTTCATTGTTTAATTTTGTACAAAGGGCAGAAATAATATGAATGAGGTATTATAGTATTATTAACACTAATACTACAATATTGGCTTAGAGATAGCATACAAAATACATCCAAATGTATATGCTGTCTGTCTCTATGTATGTTTATTTCCACTGTGTGATTTCTACAGATGAAAGCCTCTGCTGATGCAACTCAAGACGCACTGGCAGACTGTTTAACCATCCACCCTCTGCATCCAAACCTTTCCCCTCTGGCAAGGCTAGACAACAATGTGAACCCAGCTCTTGGTGCGTCTCATGAGTCGAACTGTATAGCATATCCAAGCTCTGGCAGTTTGCATAAATACATTTGATAAGTGAAGAAGAAAACAACATATATAAACGTATATCCCTGCAACCATGTGTACTTAATAGATTTATCCATAATATTCTCATCCCTGTTCCTTAGCTGCAACGCAAGTACGAGATCCTTACAGCAGTTCCCATCTGGCTTTGTTGGGTTCCTTACAAGATAAATACAGGTTAGTATTGGTGGTGTGCTTTTGATCATGTAGATCATCTACAATGCAGATATAATTTAATAAGAAATCAAATAAAATTCAGTTGTTGTTGTTTTTGTCTTAAAAAAATGATTTAGTGCAACTTATTAGGCCAATTCACATCTTTGGAACTGTAACCAACACAAAGTTAAAGACTTTTGTTTCTTTTATTTAGTTTGTTTTTCTGATGAGCAGGAAGAATCAGCTCAAACATTTGTTGTCATGGCATTAATATAAAAAAAATCAACTAATTAGATTTAAATATTCACTGTTTTATGATTTAAAGAAGAGGTTGTTGTTAATTTTGTATGTGTATTTGTAGTGTCTAGTGTTTTCAATAGAAAAGGGCTGTTTTGAGGGGGTTGGGGATAGCCACAATCCTACTTCCCTTGACAATCTCTTCATCTACGCACTTCAAAGAAAGTGATAAAGGATTTCTGTCATTCTGAGCAGCCGGATGCAAAAGGCTCTTGACTGGGTTTTGATTGTTCTCAGATCAGCGGTAGGCCGAAGCATTCGCTGCAGGACTCTGCGTAGACAATCGACCAGTGAGAGCGGACCTTTCCTTGCCTCATTGGTCTCTGCCGCTACCATTAATGGATGCTATAGCCACCGCCAAGAGCCACTAAGGAATTCAACGAGTGAATCATAAAATCTAGAAAATGCATTTTAAGGTCCAATAGGCGAGGAGAAAATGCTGAAGTTACTATTTAGTAGTTAAATCAATCATAAAATCCTTGTAGCAATTTATACACACTTTCTGGCAACGCAAATGGAGGAAAAATGCAAACCTTTAGTTGCTATGGGTTTATGAGATTTGCAAAGTTTTTCATTCAGTTATTTACTTTTTTTCACAACGTCTCAACTTTTTTAGAAGCGGGGTTGTACGATGGATAAAGGTTGCATCCTGGACCCATGGTTCATCTCAGTGTTTCACTCTGTTTGGACCATTTAGTTAAGTCAAAATGGTTCTTGCTCGGCTCCAGCGTGTACAGGCCGGCTGATTAGATGCATGCTTAAGTTCAGAGCGTCTTTGCAATGAGCTAAATGTGGAAACCTCTGCACAAATAAACTGCCCCTTCCAAATCATTTAAAAAGTGGCTATTTGCAACTTCTCCACTATATGGAGTGTGCTGCTTGTGGGACTTGCTTTGTTTGTGGCTCCTCGGACTGATGAAGTCCTTTGGATGAAGGATGAAACGTCTCAGCAAAAACAAGAAACCGTCCAGACGATCTGACTGAACGCTGTTGGATTTTTACCTGGATTATTGAGCATGAACGTTGATGTTCCTATGATTTTATTAGCATTTGCTGTTACTGGCATTCTTTCAGAAGTTCTACAGCTTTCATCAAAACATAGGAAAAATTCTTACTCTTTTTTTATAAACCCCACCGTCTCAAGCTTGAACGGTGCAGAGGATGTACTGAATCTTAATTGTACTCAGATGTAACACAAAGGACAAGTGTCGTTAACTGAGATGTTGCTGTTCAAAGTTTTTTGCGCCTGATTGGGAAAAAAAACGTTGAAACGTTCTCCATTTCATCTACGTGAGCTGGGTATTTACTTTGATTTGAAATCTTTCAGGTGTGTTGATCCTTCTCCTCATCAGCCCATCCCTGGAGGCGCATGTGGGCCTTGTTCCTCCACCTGCCACCCGCATCCTCCCTGTGGACCTCCTCTACAGAACAACCGTGGTCTAAAGCAGCTCGACCAGACTCGTGGTGTGATAGATCAGAGCTCAGGTACTTAAAGTTTCACAACCGCATCAATATCTCTTTCTTCAGACTGTCAAAGCACATATTTATTCACAAATGGGCTATTCGGATGCACGGCTTACATATTTTTCTGTTCATCTTTATAGTGTGTAAGACAGGGCTAGTGATTGTTTGTTTTTTTTGTTTGTTTGTTTGGACTTAATCAGTTAGTTTTGCTCTGCACGCTTTAAAATAGATTACATATATTCTTGTTAGACTTGACAGCCACAAAGATGTTGACAAGGTCTGTGGTTCAAAACAGCTTTTCTACTAGAATGCACCCTTTAAGCATAAAATAATGAGTTTTTCTGTTTTATACCGAAATAAAATTTCTCAAGTTCGTGTTAATGCAGCTTTTTCTGCTGTAGCCAGTAATCACAATAGGGCGACTACCTCTCAAATAGCTTTTAAAATGCTCTAAGTACACACTAGAGACAAACGTGGTCAAGGATTTGTATTTGAACGTTTCAGATCTCACTCTGCGTACAAGTTTTCTAACTGTTTCTGCTCATCTGCAGGATTTGGAGTCCACATCCAAAGTGACGACACATCTGCAGAACTGAGTGGAGATTTTTTCATCAACTCGAGCAAAATGTCCCACATTTATACAGAAGGATGAATCCGTGGGTGTCTTACCTTTGCACTACTTTGTGTCCCTTTATTTTGAAGGAACTGTATCACACTAAAAACACGTGTGCTGGGAAGCTGAAATAATCTGAAATCACAAGGAAGATTTTTATTTAACTAGAAGAATTGAGGCTTTGTTGTTGTTTTTTTTTTTTTTTTTGTATCTGACCCTATAATTTGGTTTCAGCTCTCCTCAATCAACATAATGACTGTCCCTTGGGGATTTGAATGTTTACCTGCTCAGTTTTTACAGCTTGTGTGGTTCTTCAGGTAGTTTCAGGTGGCATTTTCCACAATGTCAACACTGCAATCAAAGCAAAGTATGCAAGGGATCTTTTATTACAGTTTGTTGGTTTTTTTTAGATCATGTCTTGGTCACTATAGTAACAAGACAGCCTTATTATTTCACCGTAACGTTCGTGCATATTACCTGTTGCTTCAATATAGTATCATGCTATAAGGGCACATGTATTTAGATAAGGATGCAAATTAGTGTTTGTGATCATGGCAGAAGCGTTGAATGCTTTATTGTTATTATTTACACATCACATCATAGATGTTCTCTGAAACCATGACGCTTTCATGTTTTTTTCACCTCGCTGCATTTCATTTTCATTCATTCATTTCAACATAAAACGCATACGGACACCTAAAACCTGCTTGACATAGACAATGTTATAGCAACTGAGATGCTAGTTGCCTGTCGCCACTTTTTAACCAAGATGGAATCAAATAAAACAGCTAAGAAGCAAATGTTGTTCTGTAAAATTAAATAGTGTGTAAAGATTAGCAGAAATCCAACGTGCATGATTTGGAAGGGCTTGTAGAAAAACTACAAATGTGCATATCTGGAATGATTTGGAACAAAGTAAATCATGTGTACTCTTCTTAGGATTTGTGCCGCAGTGAAGTTTTTATGGATTCCCGTGTGCATCAGTAATTTCTTTAGAACAAATGCCAGCACAGTTGTTAACTGGCTTTTCTTGGTGGATTTTGCATGTCTGCCCAATGTCGACACCGTTTTTCCTCTGGAGACTTTACCTTCCTTGTAAAGTCCAAAAATGTACATCTTGTAGGTTATTTGCTGACTTTATGTGAAAAATGATGGACCTCAACCACCTCACAACTCTGAACATGACAAAGTAGGGAATTGGAAAAAAAACTAAATTAGCTTTTTAAAAGTTAATTGTACTAATTAAAAAAGCAGTAACTTTGCAAGCAATTAACCTCATTTAAAAACAAACTTGTGTAATTGTTGAAATTGTCTCAGTAAATTTTCATCATCTAAATTATGAGGTTCAGTGTTGTAGCACCAAAGAAGCACTGCAGCATCATTACCTCAACATACTGTATTTTTCAGATTATAAGGCACAATATCAGTGAACGGGTCTGTTTTCATACATAAGGCGCATTAAGCGAAACAAAACAATCAGATAAGTCAAACTTTATTCAACTCATTTACAATAACCACATAAAAGCAGTTCGAGTTCAGTAACCAGAATTTATACACAAGGCGCATCTGATTCTAAGGCTCACTGTCAATTTTTGAGCAAATTTAAGGATTTTAAGTGCGCCTTATAGTCTGAAAAATACAGAAATACGTAAAAACTCTGTAAGTCAGTGTCAGAAATATTTATCCACCACTGTCGTTACTTTATATACGCATTTAAATTGAATTATATGGCTCTAGGTGGAACTAACATTCATGTTCACTTTTATAAAATTGAAAAAAAACAAAATAGGCTTACTTAAAAATAATTATTTTAGCAAGTGTTAAGCTTCAAAATGAATTCACCAGTTGCCTAGCAATGACAACAACAACAGCTTATCCAAAAAGCATCTGTTTAGTAACTGCTAATCAAATAAAAATAAAAAAAAAATGAAGTGCCACGCAGTGGTGGTTGGAAATGCTTTGTACTCAGTGTGAAGCCTTTTTTTTAACAATAATCTTTGTTCCACCACTGGTCTCACTTTGAAAGTTTTGCATTAATTATTTTTTTACCGCTTTGTGGCAAAACGTTTTGACCGTGTGTATTTTTGAGAAGGTTCACAATTTCAGCATTGGATGTCATACACAAGCCTATGTTGTGTGGCGTCATATCAAGGTTGAAATATTTTTCTTACTAAATCATAGAGGGGAAGACTGTATGAAAAAAATAGCTGTGCGCTCTGAATAAATGAGCCAAGACGAGCTGAAAATCAAGCTCTCTGAAAGGTGAGAATTATGGCAGAAATGAAACATAATGGTTCATAGAACTGTGACAAGCGAAGCCCCGTCCAACCATCAGGTATAATGAATGAGACGGACAGGTGCTGCTTGTACTGACGGCGTGTTCACCCCCTCACCCCCAGCTACAATAGTGGTCTTCAATTAAAATTCACCAAGTTCTGTCTAAAGATTTTTTATCTCTCTCTCTCGCAAAGGTCCAGAATACATAAATTAAAAAAAAATCTGGCCCTTCTTTAGGCAGAGGGAAACTGAAAGCCAGATGTGGGGATTAAATGCTAGAAAAGCTGCACCACCTAAAATTAATTAACATAAACAGAAATATTTGATGCTTAGCAGGAATTACAGTAAATGCTGAAGAAACTGTACCACCTGAAATGAGTTATCATAAATCTGAGGCAGTGCTGCCTGAAATAAATTACAGTAAAGTCTACTATTTACTATGTACTTATTTACTATATATATATATATATATATATATATATATATATATATATATATATATATAGAGAGAGAGAGAGAGAGAGAGAGAGAGAGAGAGAGAAAGAGAGAGAGAGACAGACAGACAGACAGACAGACAGACAGACAGACAGACAGACAGACAGACAGACAGACAGACAGACAGACAGACAGACAGACAGACAGACAGATAGATAGATAGATAGATAGATAGATAGATAGATAGATAGATAGATAGATAGATAGATAGATAGATAGATAGATAGATAGATAGATAGATAGATAGATAGATAGATACTTTATTAAATTTGAGGCATCCAGTAGCGTGTTACATTCATGATTACCTATGTGTATACATAAGCCTGTCACAATAAACAATAAATCAATTAATCGCATGATAAATGAAAATTATCGACTTTGTTTTCATTTATCGGCTCTATTGTTTTTTTCATGTCTCTCTCTTTCTACTGAAGACACTGGATGACTAATCTGTTTTAACCGTCCAAAATCGTGTTTTTTGGATCAGTAAAAGCAGCTAAGCTGAGAAGGTAAGCTATGAGCTAAGCTAATAGGCCAATCTCGAGAAAAAAAACCTGCGTCTTGTCAAAGCTTCAAAATTCACGGTTGAAACCTGTGCCTTCATGTAAAATATATATATATATATCTGCAAAAAGAAGCTGAGAACTTGTTCAATGATTTTTTTTTAATTAAAAGCTTTGTGTGAAAAATGCTATGCCAAAGAGCTCAAACCACACCCAACGTCTGCCATTTTGAGAACCGAAAAAAGGAAAGATGAACAGCCCATGTCACGTCATGGGGCCTCCCTCCAATTTTTCTAAGAGACACGCTGCTCGCTCCCTCACTATCCATCTTTCAACTCAGTCTAATACTGCCATCCAGTGGTAAAAAAATTGTACTACACACAAAATAAATTAACCAACATTTCTTTAACCAACATTTCTTCTTAAATTGGAAGATAATATTTATTGATATTTATAATATTATTATAAATTTGACAATAATTACTAATTATTGTCAAATTTCAAACAATGTTATCATTTATCACAATAATTTCTGAGACAATTAATCGCCCAGCAAAATTTGTTATCATGACAGGCGTTTGTATACATACATACACATCTAAGCATACATATGCACATGTGCATGTAAATACATACACATACATAAGTGTCCGGGGTACCGCAGATTTACAAGGCTCTACTTTTACTGTAAAGGGAGGAGGTGAACGGTCTGATAGCTTGAGTACTGTGTGTGTATTATATG